GAATGCAACGCATTATCAAGTCGGTAATATTGAAATATTCACAGACCCAATAGCCCGGGTTAGTGTCCCAACAATAATAAAAATAACTTAGTTTGCGTAATTATTATAAAAGCAATACATTGCAAAGTTGAAATATTTAGAGCCCGTGAAATACTGTAAACATATTTGCGTTATTAGAAAAGCAGCACACTAAGTAAACGATGTTTAAATATTCAACGCCAATACAGAGTTGGATACAAGTTGTGTTGTTACAGTACCGCCGGATATAATAACAATTTTACGAGATCGACGCGCGGACCAAGTAAGAAAAAGGTTGCTAAGGTAACGCGCCAGTTCAGTGTGTGACTTGGGGTCAAACTTCAGTCAACACACACTTGATGTCAGCATCACCGCGTAGCAAGTTTCGCAACGTACTTGAAGTTCAATTGTGCCCCAAAATGATGTCGACGATCACTCAATTGTCGCAGCGCATGTTGTACCAAGTCCATGATACACCCTGTTTCGACTTTGGCTTGCTTTTCCTTCTTAGTGCATGTTCTTGTTCACGTAAATGCGACCTCTCACCAATGTACTAAAACGCTTTGAATTTAGTCTACGCGAAACATTAATCTTTCTAAACATTTTCTGAGACCATGCATGATATATATTCATAAAATAATGTGATCATATTTTATATTATGTTGATCTCTACGTCTTTCATGATCGTTTTGTGATTTTATTCCAAGGCTCAGGCAAATAAAATTATGTCAACTATTATAGACTAGTTTCCTAGCTTTTGGCTCAGCCAAATTGGTTTAATTTTTTATTAGAACTTTGTGATCCTTTTAATTTCCCAGTTCTTTGTGTTCATTAATGGTCTTGACAATAAGTGTGAATTGCTGTGCCCACCGTGGATGGTGTCATGGAATCTATGCATAAATTGCGGTCGACCGGCGAGCACCCACCACCACCGCGGTAATGACCGCGGTGCACCGCCCGTTTGATTTCCTACTCTCCCCTTACATGAATTATTCATGATGTAGACAACTCCTTATTATTCATGAATTATTCATGATGTAGACCACTCATTGTCATGAATTATTCATGATGTAGACTACTCATTGTCATGAATTATTCATGATGTAGACCACTCATTGACATAAATTATTCATGATGTAGACCACTCATTGACATGAATTATTCATGATGTAGTCCACTCATTGTCATGAATTATTCATGATGTAGTCCACTCATTGTCATGAATTATTCATGATGTAGACAACTCATTGACATGAATTATTCATGATGTACACCACTCATTGACATAAATTATTCATGATGTAGACCACTCATTGTCATGAATTATTCATGATGTAGACCACTCATTGTCATGAATTATTCATGATGTAGACCACTCCTTGACATGAATTATTCATGATGTAGACCACTCCTTGACATGAATTATTCATGATGTAGACCACTCATTGTCATGAATTATTCATGATGTAGACCACTCATTGTCATGAATTATTCATGATGTACACCACTCATTGACATAAATTATTCATGATGTAGACCACTCATTGTCATGAATTATTCATGTTGTAGACCACTCATTGTCATGAATTATTCATGTTGTAGACAACTCCTTGACATTATTCAT